TCTCTTTCTGTATCTTCAACTTTTCCCTCTGCTTGACTCTACCCTCAGCAGCATTCACACTTGAACTGGTATCTCACACTTTAAAAGCCATAACAAAAACAACAGTTTCCTCATCCCTCCATCCTTTTCTGCTGTCATCGAACTTGTCCCTTGGTAATGGTAGATTAGTTAATTAATACCAATTCTATCACTAGCAGAAAAGCTGAAATTATATATATATATATATATATATATATATATATTTTTTTTTTAAATACATTAGAGAGCTTGTAAGAAAGTGAAGAACAATGGGGCTAAAATCAGTAGATGAGCCCAACATTGGAGTCACTTTTGGTTGATGAAGCTGAGAAGTTGAGCAGAGCTTTCAGCAGACTCATGAAATTCAGATCCCATCAATCAGGCTCTGAGTTAGAACTCTGAGAAATAACCCTGGGAATGGCAAAAAGACCAACCCTCACAAGGACTGAAGGTTGCCTTCAGCACTGATTGGCTTAAGATGACAGGATTGGGGTGGGGTAGATGTGGGGAATTAGTATCCTTATCCTTCTAACAGAAACAAAATTTCAGAAATAGCAGATGATAGAAACAGATCTATAGGGGTTCCTGCATAACCTAAAGGGGACTTTAGTATGATTATGATGAATATGTTAAAAAATAAAAGACAAGTTTATACACTTCAACATGAATAGGAAATTATAAAAAAAAGAAAAAGAAAAAGGAAACTAGAACTGAAAATATAATTCTTGAAATCAAGGACTCCAAAAAGGCAGTTGGAAGTATGTCAGAAGAATGTATAGAATAAAGCACAAAAGGACAAGAAGAGTGTTCTTTTGAATTTCACTGTTTCTGTTGAAGAGTTAACTACCAGTCTTATTATCACAATGAAAGCCAAAATAAAATGGAGAGACATTCAAAGTTTTGAAAGAAAACTAGCCAATCTAAGATTGAATTCTATATCCTATAAATGAATTCTTAAAGTATTAAGGAGAGATAATGATATTTGTCAATAATAACTGAAAAATTCATCACAAGCAGACCTGCAACTAAATTGCCTTCTTCTGGAAGAAAGAAACGCCAGGTGAAAGACTTGAAGATGTAGGAAGAGGTGAATACCAATAGGAAAGGTAGATATGTGGGTATATATAAAACAATATTGATTGTATAAAAGAATATTAATAATATCTCGTAGGATTTATAATCTGTATAGAATTAAAATATATGAAAACAGAAACATGTTACTTGGACATAGCTAAATTAGATGTTGTAATGTCCATAAAATAGTTTAAGTACTAATTTATATTCAACTCTAATAAATCTAAATGCATGTTGTTTTTGATATTCACTAAAAGAATAGAAAAAGAGTTAACAATTACCAATATAAATGGAATCATAAAACTAATCAATTGAAAGTAGGCAAGAAAGGTGAGAAAAAGAGAGTAGAGAGACAAAGTGAAAGCAAAAAATAGCAATAGTAGTTGTAAATCCAATTCTATCAGTAATTAATTAAATTAACTAACTGGACTAAATGCTCTTCAGTTATCACACTATTTCCCTAGTCTCTTTCATAGGCAAGCTTTTCAAAAGGCTGGTCTTCAAATGCCGTTTACACTTTTCCAATTCACATTAATGAATTATTTCTTTCTCAGACATAGGTAGTATATACAATACTATAAATACTATATATACACACATATATACTGTATATATATATACATATATCTCACTCAACAGTAGTTCAATGTGAACTAGTGATATCACCTTACCCAATACCCTTGTAACCTGCTCCTTTTTCCAGTTATTAACAGTTTTGCCAGAAACTTCAAAGTCCTCCTTAATTGCCCCTATCTCTAACACATTTAGTTCACTGCCAAGTCCTGTTGACTTTAGCATTTAAATACGCCTGGAGACCTGTCCACTTAGCTTCGTTATCCCCACTCTGGTCAAAACCACCATCTCCTATTCCCTGGACGATGGCACTAGGTTTTTAACTGGTATTTCCATTCCACCCTTGTCCCCTCCAATTATTCTTCACATAACAGTCAGAACGACCTTCTGAACATTCCCTTGCCAAATACATTTTGGTGCCTTTCTATTGTAGTTAGAAGAACATCCAAAAATCCCAGTCACTGACTCTGGGCCGAGTTGTGGCCTCCCGCCTTGCTCTTTAGACTGACCTCCTGCCTTCCCTCCCCGGTTGCACTCTACCTTAGCTACGCTGGGCTTTCTCTGAGTTCCTCACACTTCGCAAACTTTTTTCCAGCCCAGGGACTTCAAGCATGTTGTTTCTTCTACAATACCTGGAGAATGTTCATCCCAGCTTTCTGTATGGCTAGCTTTTATTCAACCCTCTGTCCTCAGCTAAAATCTATCCTCCAGAAGGAATTCATAGCACGTTCCTCCTCCTCCTAATTGATACTGGTAGAGCCTCCATTTTACTCATGTGCCTGTTGTTAACATACTGCTTTTCAGCTCCAAATTCAACCCCTCAACATATGCTCTGCGATAATGGATGAAATTCCTTTTACAGCCAGCACAGTGTTAAGCTTTCTTAGTAGAGAGTGGTAGAGGAATATTTCAGGAGGAAGGGGGCTCCTGCTCTTTCCAGAGGCTCAGGGAGGGTTTGCAGTGTGGGTACGTGGACATCTGGGAGTCCTTTGTCTCAGTTGTGTGCCGAGAACACCCTGTCCCTGGAGAACCTGCAGTGTGGCCTGAGGTCACCTTCCTTTCCATATGCTCCAGGTCTCCTGCCAGTCCTGGTACCCTGATCCCTCTACTCACGTCCCTTCTCCCCTAGGTGTGTCTCCTGCACTCCTACCTCACACTACTACCCTCTAAACAGGGCCTTCCCAACAGGGACACCTCGTGTTCCTTCCAGGGCTCATGTCACACTGGCGTCCCCACTTCTTTTACACACCCAGGCACCAGGGACCAGCTACCAGCTTCTATTCCCCTGCTCATCTGTGCTCATTGGGGGGTTTCTTCCTGTTTGCCCTGTGACTGCAGATTAGCTCTGGCGCAGCAAACCAGTGAGCAGCTCTGCCATCTAGTGGATTAAACTCCGTCCCAAAGAGATCTGAATCCCCAGCCTTAGAGAGGAGGCTCCCTTCTCTAAGTTTGTCCTTCCCTGGGTACTCTCCCTTGGTACCACATAGAGCTTTCTTACAGCCTGTAGTTATTCTTTTGTCACTGTTTAATAATTCTTTGTGTTAAATTCCAGTTGTTTAAATCACTGTGATTCTATCTCTTGGATCCAACTGCTACAATTTTATTCTCCCACCCCATAATTTTTCTTATAGTACCAATCACAATTGCATATTTATTTATGAATCTATTTCTTAGTATCAGCCTCTTTTATGGAACTATACACACAAACAGGGCAGGTATGATTGCTGTGTTTTTGTGTTGCCAGTACTTAGCATAATGCCTGGCTCATAAAAAGCGCTCAGTACGTATTTGTTGCTTGAATGAATACTGTATGGCTGAGTTCACTTTCTGCTAATTCATTCTGTTATGGTCTTTTTAGGCCTTATTAATTCTTCTAAGTCATTGCTATCTGTTCTAAAGACCAGGCATAATGTATTCTGGAATTTGTAGCATCACAAGAGATCTGATTGTGGCCCTTTATGAATAAAATAAAGTTGTATTTTTATATTTTACCATCTCCACATTAAAACCTATTGTAGCAATGGTGGTCACAACTACAGTTACTCAGGAAGGTTTGTTTCTTAGTTGTGTGCAAACTTACTACAATATTCACATTTCTTTTCCAAAGAAAACTAGAAGTAGTTTAAAAATATATATTTTAATTCCAACCACTATACCACCACACAACTAATTTTTCACATGATTCTACCCCAGGATTCATATGCTCAAATCCCTGCAGGGCCTAGTGGGTAATTTAAATGACTGGGCTCAGTGTAAGGAAATGAGGAGTAGCCGGGATGATGGCAAGTTGAACAGCACATGCTTCACCTGAATAACTTTAATTAAAAAAATTATAAAAACACTGCGCAAGCCAAACATAGCATGTGCAGGCAGCACTAGTCCCGCGATCGCCACCTGGCGAACCCACACCTAAAAGACCGGCTCCAGGATCTGCCCTAAATTTCAAGAGCTAGGAATCTTAAACTATAGGGTGCTCGACATAACGGTTGCTTGCTGTATGTATTTTGCTGAGGAAGGCCATGAAAGAGAAGCTCGCATCTACTATTGTCACTATTTTGTAAGAGTAAACAAAACTTGTCAACAGAAGATAGAAAGGACACAGTCTGAGGATAAAGAACCATCGATCCCATGAAAGAAAAATTGGCTACCTTGCATTACTGCTTTTTTTTTTGTCCTCTGATTATGGGAGGGAATAAATGTTGTGTGGAACTTGCCCAGGGTGCCAATCAGTTCTATTGTAAGTACCTTGAAAGCTTAAAAGGTGCACAGGGTTTCTAGGACTCCCCTCAGGAGGTCAGGGGGAAGAGGTGGCTTGCGTGCATACTTTGGAAAACTCCTCAGGGGTTTCTGAAGCATACCTAGGTGGGAAACTTCTGGTCTGTTCCACTTTAGCACTCAGAATACAGAGAACAAGGCTGGACCATCATTTCTCATCCTGCCTACAGAGAATCCTATTTTCCTGCACTGGAGGGAGACAAAGGTTTATCAAAGTAGCTGTGCAGCTCACATTGCCACGAGAGGCAGACACCTCCTAGTCTATGTCACGAATAAGTGATTCACAACCTCGGAATAGAGAGTCTCCACAATGATTCAATATGCAAAACGATTCCTCATTTAAAAAAATGTATTGACTTATTTATTGACGTATTCCTTTCCTTGTTCCAGAATGGAACTAAGGTCATTTTTAAAAAATGTGTAAAACACACAAAAAAGAAGCTTAAAATTAAGAAACTAGGGCAAGGTAAAATTAAGGCAGAAATAATAAGAGTGTGTAATGAGTTGGGGAAACAACCCAAACTCCTGTTTTTAACACTTATTATCTGTGCGTCACTCACCTGTGGCTTGGAGTGAAGTTAGCAGGACGTGAGACAGCAAGCAGCAGTGACCCCTTTGTTGAAGTGGACAGTTCACATGCTCCCTAGACGGAGGAGTCTCCCTATTCAGCTCCCACCAGCTGTTGTTGAGGAATTTTTCAAGAGAAGTTGGAAATTGAGATGTCCATGTGAAATCTCTGAATTTTACATTTGCATCAGGTTAAAATAACTCAGCACCGTATTGTACAGGCCTAAGGAACCATTTCCTTTGACGAGACATGGTCGTCTGAGCTGCACATTAGACTCGCCTGCAGTGCTTGTCCCAGATCACCGGCTCAGGCCTCATCCCAGACTTGCTGAATGAGAAATGTCTGGGAGGAGGGCTGAGTCTGAGTATTTTGAGAACATTCCCCAGGGTAATCCAACCTTCACCTACAGTTAGAAATCACTGCACTAATGAAATCTGGGAAATGAAACGAGGTGTGCCAGGCAGCTTCTCAGGTGCCCGGCTGCAGTAGCCTTGCTGACGTCACTTGCTGTAACCTAGGGAACCGTGCCCAGGCACTGCGGTCCAGTGAGATGTTAGCTACGCTTTGCCTTAGCCCACCTTGATTTCTCTAGGGCACCAAGTATGAAGTTTGATTCTTATTTTCTTGGCTTTGATAAGGAAGTTTTCACAGAGGGTCTGAAAATAGGAATAAACAAGATAGAAACTTATGCCAGCCTTGATTTATGCAGCGGCAGAGAAAATAAATTACAATTCTCTGAATCTCTGAAGAAGGAAAACCTCTTTAAAAGTCACAGACAAGAACACTGTTTCCAGAATCCTGCTACCTTCCAAGGCAATACTTTGGTCATGGACTGACTGCACTTCCCGGGGTTTCTTGTTCTTTACCGCTCAAACCCTTACCCCTCCCATCAATTTACCTGCTTATGTCTGTAATAGTGGAGGCAGCCTCATGTTTCAGCACAAACCACCTCTTCCTCCAACCCTTCATGAACCCGGAGTGAGTCCTCTTATGCAGGTAGCCGCTGGCAGGTGGGCCAAGGGGTGTTAGGACAGCGGCTGATGTCAGATCCCACCACCAGCGTCAAGATGTCTGGGCCTAGAGGGATGAATTTGGGATAGCTCAGTGGCTGAATCTTACAGTCAGCTGGAAGGATGGTTGCTTTTCAGAAAGAAATCCATGAAGAAGATGTTATAGTTTTCACAAATGGAATAAATGAAATAGAATCCTACAATTGGAATGAATCAGAGTTCTTTAGTAACAGAACCCCTCATGTCGATGAGGAAAATGAAAGCTGGGGAGGTAAAGTGACTTTTTTGAGGACCCGTGGCTCCTTAAGGGATTGAGTGAGATGTGGGACCCAGGCTTCGTGGTTCTAGTGCATAACTCTCTCAGTTCCACCACATAGCCTTGTTGGGTCTGATCCTGAATGACTAAAGTCTGTTGCTTCTCACTGCGTATAACAACGTCAGGCAAATCTCTAACATTTTTTTTTAATTTACATCCTAAGAAGGAAGATAGGTGATATTTGGCTTTTCTATTAACATCTCACTTTTATTCAAGATAATTAGTCTCCTTGACCTGGGTTAGCTAAAGGGAGGATCTAAACCACTGCTAATATACCTGTCGTTGATGTTACCTCTGATCAAAATCAATTACAAACCTTTGAACTTGGAAGTAGACAGGTCTAAGAAGCTGAGGCACAAGTGTTTTTTCTCCCTTTTCCTGGCCTATCCAATTTAGTGCTGAGGGTCGGACCCTGAGCTCCCAGATGCCTGTCCTGTCTTTCTTAGAGTGCCTTCTTTGGGGCCTGGACCTCAGGAGTACCCCCTTTCCTACAGGATCGGTATGGTGCATAACTTGGGGGAAACTGTCCCTGTCCCTGATCATATGAGGTCACTGTTTACCAATTGTGCTTTGATGCTGCCAGCATGGACACAGACTTTCATCATACACCTTCCCCTTGATGCCTCAAGAAAATTCTCTGAATGTCATTCAGACAGACAGCAACCCTGACATGCTTTGAACACTGCAAATGGGGTATGACTTCATTTACAATTCCTCTGAGAGGCAGGCCACATCCCTGAAGGGGGACATTTGGCCTTGGCAGGGCTGACTTCATCATGATGTCTGACATTGAGGTTACCGATCTGTTTAGAGCTGTCTATGGAAATGGGGGTCAGTGAGGAGACTCCTCTTCTATAAATGACAAGCTCCAACCCAGGGGATCATTCCTGGCTGAGCCACACGGCCCTTAAAATAAAGATTTGTCCCAGAAAGGCTGACACAGTCTTAACTTTAGCAGCATGCAAAGCACCTTGGTAATTAAATAACTCTGTGTGTCAAGATAATTCTTCATTGCCATGTAAATACATTTTAATTTATTGAACTGCCCTTAAGCTCCTGTCAAAAACACATCCATAAAAATGAGAAGAAATGCTCCAGATTGACCAGCAACCCACAAATGTCTTTGTCTTTGGACTTCAGTCCCCAAAGAACTCCGCCCCTGGACTAATATGCATAGTTGACACATCTGCCAATTTATTTATGTACTGCTGCAGTGGGCTGCCCCTGGAGGTCATTTTCCTTTTGCTTATACAGCCCGCACATGGGTTTCTCTGATACTGATCAGGCTAAGCTTGAGTTTCTGCTGGCCGTAAACATGACTTGGTGCACCAAAAAATTCTCTCTGGGGCAGGGATACAGATGGTTCCACTGCAGCATAGTGTTGTCATATTAAAGGCAAGTTTTTCACATTCAGAGTTAGGGCTTCATCCTGATGCACAGGGAGTTGCTGAGTTCCAAACAGCTGTTGGGTGATGGTGGTTGTACCCTTTTTGCAGGTTCTATCAGATGCCAGAAAGACCTGGGCATTCACAGAGACTTTAAACTTTTGATGTTATCTCCAAATGAAATTATTTATAGTCATTGTAATGTGTGTGTGTGTGTGTGTGTGCGTATGTGTGTGTGAAAAGAACTAAATGTAAAGTACAAACAATTAAAACCTCATAGTTTTATTATTTATCTATTAATTTACTGGGATGCTAAAAATATGGAAATGCCCTAGCTTAATGCTTCTCAAACTAAATGTAGATGCAAATCCTCTGGTGGGTTTGTTACAATGCATATCCTCATTCAGCAGGTGTGAGATGGAGGCCTGAGACTCTGTCTTGGTTACAAGCTCTCAGGTGATGTTAGAACACACTTTAAGTGGCAAACCTCCAGGTATCTGTCCATTGCTGAGGCTCGTCTCATGAGCATAGTCTTTGTTACCAACCACCAGGCTTCTTCCTTTCCTTGACTGTGATTTAGTTTCATTTCCAACCTCAATATTTTGCAACCACAAAATTATTAGCTTTTCCATCCCTTACTTCTTTTTATTGTTATTAGTTTCAGGTGTAAAACACAACATGATGATTGGACATTTATACACCTCACAAAGTGATAGCCCCAACAAGTCTACTACCCATCTGACACCGTACATAGCTACTATTATACCATTGATTATATTCCCTATGCTGTACTTTACATCCCATGGCTATACACTGGGGGTGCCAAAAAAATGTATACACATTTTAAGTAAGGAGAAAACTATATTAAAATTGTAATAATATATGCCAATAACAAAAGATGAATACAAGCCGTGTATACATTTTTTGGCACTCCCAGTATGTGTGTGTGTGTGTGTGTGTGTGTGTGTGTGTGTGTGTGTGTGTGTGTATATATATATATATATATATATATATATATATATATGTTTTTATGTCAATACCATGCTGTTTTGATTATTGTGGCCTTGTAGTATAATTTAATATCAGATAGTGTGATATCAGATAGTGTGATGTTCTTCTTTCTCAGGATTGCCATGGCTATTCAGGGTCTTTTACTGTTCCATATAAATTTTAGAGTTATTTGTTCTAGTTCTGTGAAAAATGCTATTGGTATTTTCATAGGAATTGCATTGAATATATATATATTGTTTGGGACAGTATGGACATTTTAACTATATTAATTCTTCCTATCCTTGAGCATGGTATATGTTTCCATTTATTTGTATATTCTTTAATTTCTCTTATCAATGTCATAATTTTCTGAGTACAGGTCTTTTACTTCCTTGGTTAAATTTATTCCTAAGTACATTTTTTTATGCAATTGTAAATGGGATTATTTTCTTAATTTCTCTTCCTGGTAGTTTGCTATTGGTGTATAAAAATGCAACCAATTTATGAATATTAATTTTGTATCCTGGTACTTTACTAAATTCATTTATCAATTCTAATAGTTTTTTGGTGGAATCTTTGGGATTCTCTACATACAATATCATGTCATTTGCAAATGACAGTTTGACTTCTTTTTTTCCCATTTGGATGCCTTTTATTTCTTTTTGTTGTCTGACTGCTGTGGCTAGAACTTCTAGTACTATTTGGAATAAAAGTGGTGAAAGTGGGTATCTCATCTTGTTTCTGATCTTAAGGGAAATGCTTTTAGCTTCTCTGCATTGAGTATATTAGCTGTGGTTTGTCATACATGGCCTTTATTATGTTGAGATAATGTTCCCTCTGTTCCCACTTTGCTGAGTTTTATCATAAATGGATGTTAGATTTTGTTAAATGCTTTTCCTGCATCTATTGATATGACCATATGATTTTTATTTTTCATTTTGTTTATGTGGTGTATCACATTAATTGATTTTCATATGTTGAACCAACCTTGTATAACAGGAATGGATCCCACTTGATCATGGTGTATGATCTTTTTAATGTATTGCTGAATTTGGTTTGCTAATATTTTTTAAGGGTTTTTGCATCTATGTTCATTAGGGATATCGGCTTATATATATATTTCTTATATATATATATATTTTTTTCTTGTAATGTCTTTGTCTGGTTTTATTTTTTTATTTTATTTTATTTTTTTTGTAGTTGAGCCATCCTGCCACCTGTTGGCAGCTCAGCGGCAGCTCAGCTCAGGCCAGGCATTGAACTGCTGTTGCTCAGAGCTCACACTCTTGAGCAAGCTCTTAACCAACTGAGCCACTTGGCTGGCCCTTGTCTTTGCCTGGTTTTAGAATCAGGGTAATGGTGGCCTCATAAAGTGAGCTTGGGAGCCTTTCCTCCTTTGGATATTTTGGAATAGCTTGAGGAGAATAGGTGTTAGTTCTCTTGAATTCACCTGTGAAGCCATCTAGTCCAGGACTTTTTGTTGTGAGCTTGTTGATTACTGATTTGATTTAGTTGGTAATAATCGGTCTGTTCAGATTTTGTTTTTCTTCTTGATTCAGCCTTGGAAGACTGTATGCTCCTAGGAATTAATCCATTTCTTCCAGATTGTTCAATTTGTTGGTCTATAGTTGCTCATAGTATTTTCTTAATTTTTTTTTGTATTTTTGTGATGTCTGTTATTACTTCTCTTTTATTTTTGATT